CAAAACAAAAACAAAACACGCCCCCCCCATTTTCCCCATTTTTAAATATTTTCCTTTTTAAGGGGGGGGCACTGCTGTTGCAGCCACTTTTTACTCATATTTTTACTTTTTAAATCCCAATTCCCTCCCCCCCCTTCCTTAAAAAAAATAAATTAATAAAGAAATCTCTTTTTTCCCCTTCTCCTTAAAATAATATAAAGGTAAGTTTTTTATTTAAAAAAAACCCCAGTAAAAGAGCATGGAATATACCCACGTCAAATGTTTATCAAAGCATTAAGAGAGTCTGTGCAGTAACACCATCCTGTCATTAACTCTCAGAACTGCAAAGGCAATTTTCTATGAAGCTTGCACCTGTAGCACCTGGAGTGGAGCTTTTTGAGTTCTACATATTTTTGGCATGATTGCAGAATTATTTTAGCCAATGGCCCAAGTTCAAATTAGCATCGAAATCAGAAAACCATTCAGTCCTGCTGTTTACGCTAATAAATGTCCAGAGATTAGCTGCACATTATCGTTTGTAAAAAAAATAATAATAGTAATAAAAGGAATCGGGCACAGCATTTTTGAGTTTTACATCATTTATGGAAGAATCACTTTAATTACTCCATGGGGCTGCTACACAGGTTATTAGACTTGCTAATAAGCAGCAGGCTACGTGCTCCCACCAGGGGACTGTCAATCAAAGCCGTCGCAGGTATATAGCAATGAGAGGGTCTGGCTAGAACCACATGTACTGTATCAAGGCTTTTCGCAGAGGTTTTGTATTACTTACAGAATGGTAGATTTTCCTCACCCACAGAGGGCTTAAAGGAGACAGAACGGCGCAAGGAGGATTTACCTCCCATTGGCGTGCATCATCAACAATAACAGAGGCTTTGGTGGACAGAATCTGCCTTCAGCACCATGAACAGTTCCCTGGCTTTACCAATCCATTATGCAGGAGGCTATGAGCCCCAGGATTCCAAGGAGTGGAAGGTGGTGATCCCAGCCTTCTTGGGGGTGATCTGCCTGGCTGGCTTTGCAGGGAATGTGTGTGTCATTGGGATCCTACTGTACAACTCCAAGAAAGGGAAGCCGTCCATGATCCACTCCTTGATCCTCAACCTCAGCCTGGCAGACCTGCTCCTCGTCCTCTTTGTTGTGCCCTTCCGGGCAGCGGCTTACTCCAGAGGAGCCTGGTACCTGGGGTGGTTTCTTTGCAAAACCTCCGACTGGTTCCGACATGCTTGCATGACAGCCAAGAGCTTGACCATCGCTGTGGTTGCCAAGACTTGCTTCATGTATGCAAATAACCCGGCTAAGCAGGTGAGCATCAAATGGCACACCATCTGCGTTGTGCTGCTGGCAATTTGGCTGCTGGCCTTGGGAATCCCGCTGCCTTTGTGGTTCTTCAGCAGCCTCTGGGAGCCAGAGGTAGGCTCTGCTTTGTGCATCGTGATCATTCCAGCCCACGCTCACGAGTTTATGTCAGCATTTGTCAAGCTTTATCCCCTGCTGGTCTTTTGCACCCCCCTCACTTTTGCTTTCTTTTATTTCTGGAGAGCTTATGGCAGATGCCAGCGGAGGGGGACCAAGACTCAGAACCTGAGGAACCAGATCAGATCCAGGTGCCTGACTATGATGCTTCTGAGTGTTACTGTCACCTCTGCCTTGATGTGGCTTCCTGACTGGATATCTTGGCTGTGGGTCTGGCACCTGAAGAAGGGTGGGCCTGCTCCCCCACAAGGATTCATGGCCACTACCCAGGTCCTGATGTTTGCCATCTCTTCGGCCAACCCTCTCATCTTTGTACTGATGTCAGAAGAGTTCAGGGAGGGTTTCAAAGGCTTGTGGAAAAGGCTTACGCTGAAGAAACCTCTCCCTGCCCCAGAAGAGCAGGAGGAAACAGTGGTTGACAACACGGAGGAAGCCCCAGATTCTGTTCCTTCTCCAGAGGTAGTGACTCCTGATGAAGAAAAAGAGCCCCCCTCCATCCCTCAAACCTCAGAAAGCATGGAAATCAAGAAGGAGATGCCCATTTTGCCAGATGTTGAACAATTCTGGCACGACAGGGAAGCAGTCCCTGATGCTCAAGACAATGACCCTATTCCTTGGGAACATGAAGGGCAAGAGACAGTAGGTTGTGATCAACAGAACTGAAGTTAGAAAGCTGATATATATAATCATAATTTTGTTGCTTACTTGGAGTAATGCTGAACTGGGTATACTACTTTAGTTTTACACCTTTGCATGTGTGCTTGGGACTTATCGACGTCTTCAGAATTAATGTAATGAACAAATGCAACTGTCAGTTAATTATTCCAGTTATTCTGCTCTGAGATTTTTATTTCTCATTTTACTTAAAATGCATGTCTTGTACTTTCAGATGGTGATTTAAGTTAAAATTTCAGGAAGGAAAAAATAGTAATTTGGTTACATTTGCAAAGTAGTTTTGCATCAAGAAGTGAGCTGAAATTGCATGAGATGACTATAAAACAGAAGGGCTTTGTGCTTATTTATAATACATACTCTGTATATAGGTTTTGTAGGCACACTTTGGGGTGAACAATTATGGCTTTGAACAGGTTTTGACCAATTCAAAAAGAAGGGCAGAGCAAAAGGTGTAATTTGGTTTTAACTAATGAAGCAGTATGCATGACAGGTTCTCTCATTATTACACTTAATATGTATTAAACATGCTCAAAGAAAATGTGGCTCATGTTTTTCTGCTAACCGATCAGCCTTCTTAATGGGCTTGCCACTTCACACGAATAACAGAAATTAGCTTTATAGTATAAGTATAGTGTTCCAAACCAGGTGTGTAGAAATCTTCCATTCCACTGTATAGTCATTTAGCAATTAATGTAACATTTGTATTTGGCAGCAAGGCAAGTTTTGAACAAGAGCCACTTACATCAAATGCACCAGGACCTTATTATGCAACCGGTATATATATTTTTCCAAAGCTACATCATTTATATATTACTTTATCTCTCAACTGTAGATACAGTTGCATGTTTCATCTTCATATTAGGACTCACTCGCTCTCATTTAAAATACTGTTTTTGAAAAGAGCAAGTGAGTTACTGAGTTCTATCATCAGGTGTGGCTCATATCCACAGTTCTGGAAATACAACTTTTGTATATGCAGGACAGGATTAGTCTTATTTCAGTGCAAGGCAACATGCATTATCCATCACATAGCAATACTGTTCACAACTGCTGAAGCACATTTGTATATGAAAGGAAAAACTGACTCCAGCAAACTAGCTTTTAAAACGTAAGTGCTATTCATCCTTATAGGTTTTCTGAGTGCTTAAAGGTGGAACTGTACATACATACATAAAAAGTTCAGGGGATTAAAGTTACAGTTCAGATCTTGCAGCTATTCGATTCCGATGTATTGATGACATTTTAATTGGTACACAACAACTGTTCCTGGGAACATTTTAAATGCATAGAACTGTTAACAGGGCTGGCCAAAGACATTTCTGTTGCCTCTAGTGGCTACTACACTGTGAGATTCAATGTGTTTGCCTTAGGCTGCATTAATAGAACTGAGGACATTGGGGAGTAACAATGTATATTGTGGATGAAATCCAGTGCTGCCTTTTCTGCTTGCAGAACAAATGTTGATCCAGTGGAGAGGGTCTTTTACCATACAACGAAAAATAATTTTCACCCTTTCCTCCTGCGTCCTCCTGCAAGTCTGTTCAGGAAGTTGGCAGATTCTCCCGAAAAGTGTTAGGTGGCAAAGCAGGCTGAGTGGGAAGTGGTAGAAATCACCTCCCCTTTTTACATTAGCAGATTATTCCACTGGATCAAAACCTGGAACAGCAACACTGCATTTTGCCAAATATGAGTTGTAATTCTGTGACATTGCAAAATATCCTGAGATGCAGCTCTTGGATCACGTGCTACTGTATTTTTGCTTGTAAAAAAATTGCCAACCCGAACAACTACTTAGATTATGTGTGGTTAAACATGCCAGTTTCAATAAACTTCCAAGTCATTTGGGTATCCGTAAGTGCATGTATTTTCACTTGGTTGTGTACAGAGCATTGTATCTTTCATCACTACGCTTAGTTTGATTGCAACTGCATTGGCTACTGTTTGTGCAATAAGATGTGGGTGTGCAGATTGCTCCTGCTGCACCAGGCTCACCTTATTCAGGTAGTAACTACCGTATTTTTTGCTCTATAAGACTCACTTTTTCCCTCCTACAAAGTAAGGGGAAATGTGTGTGCGTCTTATGGAGCGAATGCAGGCTGCACAGCTATCCCAGAAGTCAGAACAGCAAGAGGGATCGCTGCTTTCACTGCACAGTGATCCCTCTTGCTGTTCTGGCTTCTGAGATTCAGAATATTTTTTTTCTTGTTTTCCTCCTCCAAAGACTAGGTGCGTCTTGTGGTCTGGTGCGTCTTATAGAGCGAAAAATACGGTATATTTGATGCAACCACAAAAGCAAGCTGTGTTTTTTTGTTTTTCCCCTCCTCAGCAGACAAGTTTATAAAGACAAGTCTTTACCAAAGACATGGCTTATATTGCGCACCTTACCAGCACCGTAGAAATAGACACAAAATTAAAATGTACTACAAAACTGAAAAGCAATACTAGTATAATACTTTGCATCTGTAGGATGTCTCTGGAATTATACAGGAGAAATATTCCACCAGTCATATGTTGATCCGAGTTCTTTCATTGAAATGGTCTGCAAGCAATAGGGGGCGGGGGGTGTTTGTAAATGCATATACAACCTATGACAACACCATAATTTTCCATTCATGGCAAGTATCATCAATGATCCGGCAACTCTAAAGAGAAAACAGCCCTGCAGAACTTGCTTTACTTTCATTAGTGAGGAAATGTGCACATACTTATTATGCATTTTTTAAAAAAGCATTTGCGGCTAAAGTGCTCTGTGGTACTTAAGAAATAAAAGCTATACTTTATTTTTACCTTGAAATTCAACAAAATATAGATGCTGTTAGTATTTTATTCAGCACTAAGGCTATTTACTCCCACACCCCTCCCCCAAAAGCACTGGAATTGGACAGTCAAATCTAGCTGGACAGTAATCATTCCCTCTGATTTCAAGCTAGACCTGTCAATCACAAGAGCTTCCCCATTTCTCTTGGTGCTTTACCTTTTTCTCAAACCACCCTGCCATTTTTGTTTTAAGGTAAGCTTTAGAGACATGTTCTCTACAGCATTTGTTGGGCGTTCAAATCACCAAACTTTGGGGGTGGGATTCTTGTCTTGAGGCATCTCATACATACTGCTTCACCTTGGACAAGCCCAGAATCCCTCTAAAGCAATTTACATTAGCTTGGGAATCCTCTGAATCCACTACAAACCCTTAGCAAGCACTATCCTTTGATATAATCCCTCAAAAAGTAAAAAATGACACCCCCCCCTATTATGATGCCCATGCTCTGGCATTTTGACTACTTTAAACATGTAGGTGATTTTTCAAAAAAAATAATCCCATGCCTATTTGTATGATTTCCATATTGCCTGACTCATCAAATAAACAGGATGTGATCCTATGATTGCTGTGGAAGTCCAGGAATGTTAGCCCTCATAAGTCTTCCCACTGTGGGTGTGGCAACATCTGCCATCAAATTATGCCAGCCTTGGAACTAATATACTTACTTTCCTTCCCACTGCGCAAGAAAACCTGGAAATGAAATAAGAAAAAAAGCACCTACCTATCTAAAAAGGGGAAGAGGGAATAGAAAAATGTGCCACCATCTTATACCCTGCTAGAGCTATGGATATGGTATTTCCTTTGCTTCAGATTCTCCCTCCTCCACTCTGCCCAAAGGTAATGAGCCATTTACTAAGCATGTACAATCCATATATAAAAAGGGTTGGTTTATTGTCGTTCAAATACGTAAACTGAACAATCCCAACATTTCAAAATTAAACTTTAGAAACACAAGTTTAACATTCAAAACAGGAATATAGTTTACAAGAAATACCCAGAAGGGAACTTCATATTCTAATCCAGAAGTTGGTAGAGATCACTTTATGGTAAATAAAAGTGTATTTGTACAACCGTGCTATCCTGGGGAACACACTTTTTCCTGTGCATTTCCAATTTACAGCAAAAACATTACCAGACTACTGGGCAAAGCAACTTGATTGTGCCTACTGGGGAGGACAAGGAGAGGGGGGAATCAAAGCAGGCCTGTGAACAAGATCAAATGGTGTTTATTCAATTTGGTCACTGCAAGGCTCATTCTCCTCTCATGCTGGATCTGACGTTAATGGGGTTAGTCCTGATTTATATACAGGAAAGGCCATGCATGAGTAGAGAATTAGGCCCTATATTTTCAGGTTCATGAAGGGGCATAATCTTACTGCGGTCTTCAGCAGTCAATAGTTTAATCATAAGAATGCCTGACCTTGGCTCTCCCATTAGGATATCTGCGGTATCTTTTGCCGTTCTTAACTTCAAACCACAAATATCAATCATCCCAAGGCTTTCACATGTAACGCTGCCAAGAACGCTTCAAAATGCTACCAACATTCACACCTTGTACAAAGATATCGCATTGTTCTAGGACCTAAAAATCACTGGAAATAGCTGCATGGTTAGAATATTTGTCAGTCATGCAACAAAGAGAAAAAGCATCGATAATGCAAATGTTCTCTCTGCATAGAGACTGCTTTATGTTCACAAATGTTGCTTTTCTCTCTGCTCCTTGGATGGTTTTTGCAATAGGTTCATGGTAATGTATACGATTAAACCTGACAGATGGCTCATGCAATCTTCTTGACTTAACAGATATTCTTGTTCAAGAGTATGTCACAATTATTTTGTTGTTCGTCTTGTAGGCTCTGAAGCTGTGGGAGGAGGCGGGGGACCTCTGCGATCTAAGTCATCTACATAGGACACAATGAGTTTGCGTCTCTCCTCCGGCACACAGTCAAGTACCAGATAACGTTTGTCATTCTGTAATATCTTTTCGATATCCTTCAGGTGCTGGTCAGATTCCTGGATCAGCTTTTTGGATCTGCAATTAAGTGTAAGGGTCATCATTACCATTGGATGGCTGGGTGCACCGCAGAAATGAACTGGAATCTTGGTGAAGATACTAGTGGACAGGTGTCCCAGTAACAATTCCACCCACCAAAATAAATCTCTCTTGACATTGCAATCAGGTAGGCCAAATGCTCAAAAGGACACAGAGACTGGGCTATCCTCTCACCTATAAGGTTGCCCCTTCAGGTCAGGGGTGAGGCAAAATGGCAGGGATGTGTGAATGTAAAAAATCTTGCACTGCCACTGCCTGTGCTGTATCTGTTCTGCAGGTAAACAGAAGACTTCAGTCTCAAGGGCTGCCAGTACCTTTTAAAATCAGCACTAATTAAACTATAAAAATGTAAAATAAGAAAAATGAGCACATTTCAAATTAAACACTGCAGTTGAAGAACACCTGTAGAAAATGGATGCCAATATCCCAGTTGTACTCCAGACCAACCGAAGATAAATATGATTATTTACATTCATTTAAGACAGTGCTTTATTTCAATGACAACAATAGCAATAATCAAGTATAAGAGAATAAGCCTGAGTGGGGAGCTCAGGCCATCAGTTTTTGAATAAAGCACCACTGGCCTACAAGAACTGTTGTTGCCAGTCCTTTCTTCATCTTCCTGGGGCTACTTAAAGAACCAAGAAGGAAAGGAATAAGAGAATTCCAGCCTACAAAGCTAAGCTCCTCAAGTAGAGATCAGCAGAGATCACTAACAGCTTGAAGGCAAATCTGCTATTTTGTTAGTTAACGTTTCTGAAACTGCACTGAACACTTTAGCATACAGGTGGTATATAAACAACGTAAATTGTTAAATAGATACTCTGCAAAAGGACTAACTAAAAAGAAAAGTACACAACCTATTGGGGTCAAATTATCCTTAGTAAATGGATAGAATTATCCATGGGTAGGGACTGCTGTTAACTAAACAATCAGTGGCTTGGAGCAGAAAGAGTGCTTTCTCATCAGCTCTCCCACAGGGGCTAGAGTAGCCTTTGCCAACCTGATACCCTCCAAATGATTTGGATGACAACTTGTCGCAGCTCCAGCCAACGTGCTGGTAGGATGCTGCGAGCATGGCTGTTGGCTGGGGCTGATGAGAGCAGTAGTCCTAAACATCTGGAAGACACCAGGTTGGCAGAGGCTAACTGAGCTCAGCAACTCTTCATAATGCAGCAGCACAATGTAGAAGGAGTTGTGCTACACTGTAAGAAATAGTGAATGATGATAATACAGGTTGTAGTATATAAACATTGTGGATCACAAAATGGTTTTGAGGAAGAGCTTGCACAAAACGAGAGGTACTCTTCTGGACTTGGGGCAACTTTCTTCATGCAACACTCTTCTGCTAGGTCAGAAACACCTTTATGGGAGTGGAAGAACAGCTCTGTATCCAATCCAATCTGTTCACACTGCTAAGTAAGAATTCAGAACTAGGGTTTTCTAGAGCAGGCCACGTATTTTATAAAACATACATCTCTAAATATTTGTGTACATAAAAATTAGCTTGGCACAGATACTCAATTTGAACAGCATCATCCCAGAAATCCAAATCCATGAAAAATTCATGGAAAGAACTGATGGCAATCCATTTTTTTCCTGTTTAAAAAACTGCTAAAGCTAACCAGATATTCGACATAAATATTAAAAATTTGAAGAACCATCTCTGTGTTGCTTTTGAATACACACCTGTATGTTATAAATTTGGTCTCTTTCAAAAGCGTTCTGAAATCCGCTTTGGCTGTAATATATTTGTCTCTGATGTACTCTTCAAACTCTCTTTGCTTTTTCTGCATGAAAAGAAAGAAGCAAATTTGGACATTGCATCACCATCACAACATAGATCTCCTAATGTCTGTTAGGGGCTGCTGAACAAAATATATGAGGGAGGAAATTGCTTTTGGTTTTAACATCACATGGGTAGTCTAGAATGACCACTGTAAGGCTTCTTACCCTGTCACTGGAGGAGAATTTAATACACCTGGGATCTTCTTTAATTATTTTCTTTACTTCTTTCCATGTTGACGTTAAGGTAATCTTTTGAAATAGAAAAATAGAAATATTACATGCTGCGGTAAGAAATTCAAACATGCAATACTAAGCTGCAATTTTTGCAAAGGATGGTCTCTGACTTAACATGTGATAACCATAATCAGAGAAGTAGAAGAGTAGAAGAGGCTGCTGCAAAGAAGCAAAAGACCTTCTATTCAGCAGATGTCCAGGGGGAAGGATTCACTCTCTCACAAACAGCCTATACTACTGCTGCACAAGACAGGAAGTGGGATGCCCTTTAATTGTGCTCAAATGTTAAGTGAGGGGAAGGAGATATAAAGGTGCTGACTGACAGTTTTGGTCTATTGTTACACTGTTTTCACTTCTGAACTCAATGCTACTTTTAAACAAGATTTGCAAAATAAAATAAGTTGAGAAACTGAAATCATTTAAATAGTGAGATGTTTAACTTAGTAGACTATAAATCAATAAAGGTAAAGGTACCCCTGCCCGTACGGGCCAGTCTTGCCAGACTCTAGGGTTGTGCGCTCATCTCACTCTATAGGCCGGGAGCCAGCGCTGTCCGCAGACACTTCTGGGTCACGTGGCCAGCGTGACAAGCTGCATCTGGCGAGCCAGCTCAGCACACGGAACGCCGTTTACCTTCTCGTTGGTAAGTGGTCCCTATTTATCTACTTGCACCCGGGGGTGCTTTTGAACTGCTAGGTTGGCAGGCGCTGGGACCGAACGACGGGAGCGCACCCCGCCGCGGGGATTCGAACCGCCGACCATGCGATCGGCAAGTCCTAGGCGCTGAGGTTTTACCCACAGCACCACCCGCGTCCCACAGCGCCACCCGCTACTAAATTGTTAACATTTATTCATGTAGGATTAAACCTATTCCTTGCCCCACCAATAAACATTTTCATATGTATCTGAGATCTGCTACCAACCATCAGACTTTGTCAAAAGGAATCAGATAAATGTTTGCAAATCTCTCTCCACCCACTCAGCATAGCTCAGATCTAGAAACAGGGGCACAACATAATAGTGGGCTTGAACAGACTGCTTTTTAATTCAGCAAATACACATTTTGTTCCAAGATTTGCTAGGCAGAAGTCAGTGGAAAATGAAACGACAGTAGAAAATGCCAATTTAATCTCAATAATATTTTGTAGTAAGATATAAAACACACATAAAACTATGTTAGTTCCCAATAAAAATTGCAGAGCATCTGCTTACTGATGAAGTTTCATCTAGAAGTTGCCGAAAATGCTCTTTCTTTTTCTTTGTAAGTGCCTCAATGTGTTCGTTAAATAGTTTTTCCTTCTCTTCTCTTTCCAGAAGGGAGCCAGATTCCCACCGATGATCTTTTCGAAGTGTCCTTCTAGTATCGGACCATGACACATCTGAAGATCGCACCTAATGGAAGGAATAATTTCAATCACTATACAGCTTGTTAAAATATATACTTCAAAAACTTTAGTTAATTTGCATTAAGATTATTACTGTTATTGCTCCATTTATTACTTGCCCTTCACTATAAAGTCCCTGGATGGGTTACAGGAATATTAAAATACAGCATTAAAAACAGTTTAAAACCAATTACAGTCACAACTAGACCGGGTCATAAAAATATGTGTCAAGTGTCAAAGTAATTTTTCATTACTTTGGTATAAATACATCTACCAAAGAGGGAGAAATATGTCTGCATTAATGTAAAAATATTCCCAAGGTGGTCTCTTTTGCTATGTGGATGCCCCCCCCCCCCAAATAAGAAGTATGGATTTTGGCTGTGCTGAAGACAATACTTATACCTACAAGTTTCATGGAAACATTGAGCATTATCCAACTAAGTTATACTCAAGAGTAGCCCCACACACAAAAAAGTAAAAAGTAAAAAAGAGTATTTGAAAGTAGAAGAACTTAGCTTAAAGAAAGATCAGTGAGAGCCAGGAAAAAACAATCTGATCTATCAGGCAGGAGAGAAAAAAATGAGGAGACTGTGGCTGCCTCCCAGAGTTTGCTCTCCTGCCTCCGTCACATGAGGAGGAATAAAACCCAACCCATTTGGGTCATCAGCAACTGCCTCAAATATAGAAGGGTTTAAGTTACTGAATCCCCCTGAGTATAACTAGCAGTGGATATCACACATTACTTTGAACAAATGAGCTGGAGTCCTTGATTTAAAAATACTGACTGGTTATCTATGTAGATACAGGGGGAACAGTGACCCACCCCCCATTATACAAAATGTACAAACATACATACAGCCCCAAATTACTTCAAAGCAAAGAGAAATTAAGATATCATTGTGTCTAAAATATCTCCATGTATTTTCCATGTTTCAGACCATCAATGTCACATTCTCTTTGTTATTATTATTCATTTTGAGGGAAGCAGGATTGGTTTTTTGCTATGCAACACTCCCTTTCCTTATCATGCTTCCTGTCTTTTGCTACCATTTGCTATTTCTTGGCAGAATTCTGCAAGTGATTTAACAGTCAAACCGTCTTCCCAGGGAACTCTGGAAACTGTAGCTCTGTGAGGGGACTAGGGGTCTCCTATTGACTCTCAACATCCTTAAAAACTGCAGTTCTCAGAATTTTGGGAGGAAGCCATGACTGTTTAAATTGGGGGGGGGGTCATGACTGTAAAATGGAGATGGAGCCCTAGTCATGTTCATTAATTTCTTTCAGTAGCTAAGCAAAACCTAGTTGAATACCACCCAATTATTACACTGGCCAATGGAAAAAAAGGGGGAAAGGAAAGATGGATAATTTAGCTCTTCTGAAATCACAGGACTTTAGGCAAGGCATCTGTACTCACATCAGTCTCTTATGGGACTAAAATCAACAGGAAACAATTTAATGTGTTCTCTATACACAAGTGCATACCTGACCTTGTTAATTTCAACACACAGGAACCTCACCATATCAGATAGGAGAGCTTTGAAATTCTGGATGGCCTCTTCTCGTTTGTGCTGCTCTCGTTCTCTATCAATCTCCTTTGTCTGTTCAGAGCGAGCTTTCTGAACTTCTCTCTCTCGTTCACGCAAGCTTGCTTCAATGCGAGCCTGTCTTTCCAGTTCTTTTTCTTTTTCAGAGTCCACATTCTGAAATGGAAGCCAAAATACACATTACATTCTGCTTAGACTAGCCACGAATTTTAACACAAAATGAACTCAAGAAAAAAAAAACTGATAAAGCAAATTAATGCAGCTAGTTAAAAATCTATTAAACTGCTGCTGCTAGTGTAAGGTTTCAATTGAATTTTTTAAGAATGTTTGTTAACTATAGTTATCACAGCTCCGTTGTGCTATACAAATGGGCTATACAAATGAAAGCTCCGATGGGCTATACAAATGAAAGACACTGAGTTGTATCCAACTGGTATCGCTCCATTAATGAAGTGGAATCAAAGCAATTCCTCTTCAGCAGCACCCCACCCCCTCCCATGATATTACAAGGGTTCCTTAATTCTGTACAGCATATGGAGAAAGGGGGGAGAATTCCTAACCATCGTCTTAAAATCTGTTATGTGGCTGGAAGGTTCTGCTGGATCAAAGAACCTTTCATCAGTGGAGGGACACCAACCCAACCCACTGCATACTAAAAGATGTGATAAGACTACCTTCAAAATCAGAACCGCTGAGTGAAGAATAAATCAGGGCTAGGATTCAAGTAAGTGCATGACTAGTTCTACGAGTTCAAGCCGATTCTGATCTTGTACTGGCAAAACATCCCAAGGACTTTCAAAAAGGAGTGGCGAAAGTCCAACATTTCATTGGGCATAGTGAAGTCATTTGGAATACCTAAAACATCCTCAGGGCCACCTTACTTCACTCCCTTCTCCTGCCTCCAAGAATTTGTTAGGAAAATAGGGTGGCTATTGGTCCAAAACTTCCCCTAATCCCTCTATCATCACTGCAGAATCTTATGGACCCTAGGATGGTCTTCCAGATTGTGCTCTTGTTCTTTTTTATATATAATATATATCATGTGTCACCTCAAGAGAGTGTTTTATAAGGCAATATAAATAAGTAAGTAAGAACCCCAATCTGAGACTATGGGGCAATTCCTACCACTGCTAAGAAAACTGATTTATGCTTGTGTGGGGTATTTCAAAGTCTATTGTCAATTGCTTCATCACTGAAATACTATGAACATGGAAGCAGCTTCATTAGTAACACACGTACTTTGGCTATTTTTTCAATGTACTGCTTAAAAAGATCCTCCCTTTGTGAAGAGCTATCCACAGCTTTGTAACGAGGGTCAGTCTCTACTTTGTCCTTCACTTTGCTCCAGCGAGACTGACTGTCCAAGTGGTGATTAGATAACAGTTCAAAGAAGTCCATTTTGATCTATATTTCAAAACAAGACAAAGGGAAGAAAAAGGGAACAAAAGAAGTCACTTAGACTTCTGAATGCTTGCAGTGTAATTTAGAAATAAAAAGAAGCAGACTCACCGTACAGCAAAAACTATTTTAATTTAATAGATTCAAAACTAGATGATTCCATTAGAATATTATACTTTAAATTTAATCCACTGCCATTTTGAAAGAGAGATTTGATTATATATTAAAACATAATACAGGAGCCTTCAAAATGCAATGTGACTAATTCCTTTAAGGCTACTGCACAGTCATGAGAGTCTTAGGACATTAACTAAAGAGGGTGCTTACACATGTCGAAGAGAACCATCTCAATAGTTAGGGCTTGCTTGAGAAGTTCCTACTACAGCAGCTCTAATCTGCTCTTCCACTTAAAGAGTGTGCATTATATACACAACTGGTATTGCTCCTGCAGTAACTGCACAGGAAACCCAGAATGTAAATATGGGACTAGTCCTCATATTTACTGAAACTGTCTTCTACATGCATGGCAGGGATGTGCACCGTGGGACTTATGTGTTCATTTGTGCAATCCTTCCACCTTAAGGAAGTGTGTGCATGCAGTCTAAGTCCACACCACTTATAACGAGAGCCTGCTTTGATAAGTAGTCCAGAGCTCTAGAACACGTGTGTATACTGTACTTTTGGATTCTAGCCATGGTATAATCCACTGAAGATTGTTGGTTCACAGAAGCAATGCTTGGTGGGCTAGACCCTTAGATTTCTCATTGCACTTTTAAGTACCAACTCACTGAATTAAGGAATAGAATCATAGAATAAAGTATCAATATTTATATGTGAGCATAAAAATGTGCACGTTAATGTTCCAAGGACACCATTGGTAGCAGCTAGCAATGGATAATGATTTCAAAACTTGTTATGAAGGGCACAATTAAGTTTCATACAAAATAGTGAGAAGTTGTCCAAACATAGTTATCTGGCTAAATGCAAGCATAAATCATAATAGTAGAATTCAGTCTACAATGAAATGTTTCATGAAACAATTCTCCCTTCCATATAAACAAGTGCAGCAAAACATAAGCATTATTTTTCTCTTCTTCCTTCCCCCTCTCTCCCAAGTTATTTTTTTCTGTTGGCTTCCCTTGGAAATTCTGGAATTTTCTTAATTTTATGTATGACAGGGATGTCATTGCAGAGCCTTTGGTAGAGTCACATGTACTGTCACCTGGACGGGTAAAATCACGTAACTACAAGGCACAGTAGCACATCATAATCTGTTTGGATGAATCAACTTCTCATGTTGTTGTGGCAGTGAAAACCCACCTTTTCAGGAGTTGTGACAGCATCAACAGTGGTTTATGCATGTATGTGGGAGAAGTGGAGTGTCCTCCAGGTGGTGGTGCTGAACAGAGAGGTGGCAAGGCTGGAGCAACTCCAAGTTGGTGGCAGCTCCACAGATGCACTGCCAACCAGAGCTCTCCTGACCTCGTTCCCTCCCAGTTATTCTAGCACTGCCACCAGCACCTCTGCCCCATGCATGGCTGCTAGATAGTAAGAGTACAATTGCTGCAATCACATGGGAAGATGCTTCACACAAACAACTTATGCACACCCGTAATCAGGCCTCTGACCATTAAGAAACCTTTTACCAGTTATCTTATCTTTGTAAATGGCTAAGCCTTGCCAAGGGGCCAAGTTTATCGCTCTAAGAGCATTCACAGCTTCTTTCTGAGATTAGAGAGATCATAGTTACTTTAGCTCTAGAACGGATATTATTCCATTGTAAGACAGGCTATATTATAAATCTCAATTCCCACCCCCCAAACCCAAATCATGCATGCAAAGGGTGTTACCTGCAACCCCAAGTCTTAATGCATTATAGGACACCAAATCCCAATGACTTAAGTATGATTAACAGTGCACCTTGATGCCTTACCAGCCAATTAAAACTTGCATTCTAGCTTCCTTCAATTATTAATTACTACATAAAAATAATGCTAATCGTCTGTAGATCTCCCTCAACACTTATGTTTGGTTCTTGGCACAGTATTATGCAAGGACAATGAATTTTTTTAAGTCCAAAGGCAAATAAAATCATGAAAAGGCTGCACAATACTGTGTAGAGCAATTTTTCTCTCCACCAATGGCAGATCTATCGGAGTAGTATTTAAGAAGATATTCAGTAATCTTATAGCTATTTTTTAATGGTATTTGTTATTCCAAAGTCGAACTTAAGCACAGCATGCAACTAGTATCAAAATAGAAAGCTTTCTAAGCCAGATATATGAAAACAACACTTACAAAATTAAAAACAGAATGTGTTTCTGTGGAAATCTTTAAAGTAAGGGTCATTGTACAGGCACACCTAATCGATTATTGCTATTTTTCTACTGTACTCAAAGCTAATCTTCAAGCCATAATTTAACTGGGATTCATTTAGAAGGCTTCAGAACATTACAACACAAAGAAGGTACAGTAACAAACCTGCCTGACATCTACACAGCATGCACCCGTCTCTCTAGAAACCAGCAGCTGCCCTCCTTTTTCCAACTTGAAAGCCAGCATGATCTTACCACCTAGTGCTGCAGGAGCATACAGTATTCCAACTAAAGGCAACCCTTCCATGGATTTTTCTACCAAAACCAGCCAATCCATTCTCCTAATATTTTAATATAATTCAAGGGTTTAGGAAACATGCAGGTTTTCTGGTCTCATATGGTGGTGAGAACACCACATTTTACTTGAAAACTGTCACCCTTCAGGAAAAGCAAAGTAAAAAATGAAAAGCGTAAATCCAAGATTATAGATACTAAATCCATAAATGCAGTATCGAAACTGTACCTGTCCCTCTATTCTGGCTTTATTTATTTATTTATTTTAAAAAAAACATGGACATGGTAGCTGGGGGGTCGCTGAAGTTTTTCTAGTCAAAAGGAAGGGAGGCAGAATTGTTTAGTTATAAGGTACTGACCTGGCAACTTTCAGCTTAGTTAGACCTTACTGAGTGGAGCTATATAATACACTTCTGAAAACGAAAATCCTCAGTTTAGTTGATGTGCCTTACATCTCTTCCTTAGTCATATTTCTAGTCCTAAGGGAACTTTGCTATCTTCTCTCTTTAACTTCACTAAACAAGTGAACCACAGAGTTGGAAGATGCCAAAACAAACAAAACCCAAATCACTTACTTTAAAGGTTTGTGGGAAATCACAAAATTATAGTATTAAATTAAAGATAGAGAACCTGAAGCCTTACAGATATTGTTTGACTCCAACGCCCATTACCCTCAGCCAGCAATGATAGGAATTGCAGTTCAACAAAATCTAGAGGGCCACAGGTTTCTCTGCCCCTCCATTAAACCTCTTTTTGGGAAGAGAAGAACTGGCTGAGAAAGCTTCACTTAACACTTTAAGCATATTTTAAATCAACTTTTATGTTTCTTGTGGAATCCAAAAAGCATGTATGGCTGAAAATACTTTGCTTTTATTTAGGAGGATTTTTCTCCTCTTTTTGCAGTTTACACATTCTGGGCACAACTCTCATCACTTCACAAGGAAAAAAACTGAAAAAAATGTAAAGTACCGGAACTGCGGGAGGCTAAAGTCACCACACAGAGATACCAATTCTTTCCTCACTAGGGAATCCCATAATACTTTGCGTGTCAGTGATTGACAGCTGTCAGACTGAACTGATTGACAGGCCGCACAGCACAAAACTGTAAAATCTATCCACTTGTTACAAAACAGAATACATAAAATGGTTACAAGAGGCTTTGGGAGAAAAGAAATAATTAGTTTCAGATGCAAAGATAAACACATTTATTTAACACAAAATCTTGTTTGATGTAACTCATGCAACATAAAAGAATTTACTTATTAACTATTCATTTTGATAATGGCTAAGATGCAACAATAATGTTTAAGCCATGATTATACATTAAAACAAGTAGAGTGCAATTTAGGCTAGTTCTAGGTTATACATGTTCACCTCTAGAAAGCTAATCATTCTGGTGCATATAGAGTTGATGTACCATAGAATCTAAGGGCACAATCCTGTACATATCTATCAGAAGTTCCACTGAGTACAATGGTGCTCAATATCAGGTAAGTGGGTAAAGGACTGCAGCCTATGAGACTGAGCAGTGCATTAAGTAGTTGCTGGGCTGAATCTCATGCCTAGTATGAGTGGCCTTATGTGTGTCACTTGCCTTTATTTTCAGCTCCCAAAGGGGTTCCATCAAATGCAAGTGTGGAACAAATGCTTGCTCACACAATAGGGCAGCAGTGAGGAAGTCAAATACCCAATACGTGGGTGAAAGTCCACTCGGACAATGTTGGATCCTACTCAAAGGATTTTCCGATTATCATTTTTTGCAATATTAAGATTTTTGCATTTCAGCTGTTTTCCATTCCTATACGACAGGTAACTTTTGCCTGAAAGTTTTGCCTCTATCTATGCTACTTATTGAAAGGAAATTATATTAGCTTCACTTAAGGAGTATGTAAGGAAACAGAAATCCCAAAAATGATTAGGTTTCAAAGGTGTATGCTAGGACACTGAGGAAAGTTGCTGCATATTTTGATGCTAACGCTTGTTGAAGATACTTTGTAGCATCCACCTTCCCCAGTGATGTGCACTTTGTCTCTTGTATTGACAGTGCAGACAAATGACATTTGAAATTCATTAATCTTTCATAGGCGACCTTTAATTCTGATAAGTAGTCATGCTAAGATACATTTACTGGAAGATTAAAAAAACCACTGAAGTGTTTGCATTTTGAAATTTGCCCACAAATAGTTCTCAAACCTTGCTTGCATCCCTGACAGAACGGGTATGTAATGGTCTGCTTGGAGTTTACCAGTCAGACATTTGTCCCCCCACCAAAAAAATATATATCTAGGATTTTAAAACCTAGATATGAATTTAGAAGAAAATTATAGTACATTTTCTAGAACATTAAACTTATTCCAAATTTAGAAGAAAAAAAGAGTAAAATGACCAACCCCACACCTCCAAATAAGATACAAATGCTTAAACTAGGGGAGGGAAACAAAAGGAAAAAATAATTTGGGGGAGGGGGTGAAGGGCAAATCTAGAAGACTAGCATGGGCCCTTCCCCAGTCCTCCCATTATGCTATTTTCACATCCTTGATGTAAAAATCTTACCTTCTCTCCTCTGGTCTTCGAATCTTCTTTTTCCTTCTTTCTTGCTGCTGTGATAAACTCATTAAACAAGGCTTCCCGGTCTTTCATTTTTTCAATTGCTTTGAATCGTGAGTCTTTAGCATGCTTGGCTGCAAATTCACTAAAAGTAGTTCTGTAACAAAATGGCAAGTGTACCGATTTGGCAGGGCTTTCGTAGACGGAAAATATATTCAAAAGCACAACTGTGTTTTGGTTCTGTTGGAATACATACACTAAGCACCAATATATTGGTATCCTTGCCACCGTTGAAGGTCCAAGACATAAAGTTTGTCTTTTTTCTTTTTAGAAAGTTGACATGAACCAGCTAAAACTATTTTTTTAAAAATTGCACACACTGAATGCAGTTCTTCACATATAACATAATCCTTGCAGAAGACAAATTCCATGGTCAATCTGTCCTGATACTTCATGATTATGCAATGTAAATTTAACAATGCTCTTTTGCCACCCAACACTGCCAGAAATAGAACTGGCATGGTACAAAAATTCAGATTCTTTTAATACTGTGAGCAAGGACAGTAGTGTCTGAAGGGTTTCCCACCCTTTCTCCCTGCAGTTTTAATTATTAACAGTACTCTCACCTCCAGGGCCAGATTCCAAATCTCAGATGTGCAGTAGATATAGTACTGCCACTTACCTCGAAAAAAACAAACACTACTGTGCTTTTTCCAAGGTCTGATGCTAATCTGGCCCCAGGTTTACGTGAGACATTATAATCCTACGAATGTTTTCATCTCAGCATGGAAATAATTAGACTTGGGCAATCCCGCCTAATGTTGCTGTAGGGTAAATTAAAACAAGAGAATAATTGGGTAGCTTATTCAACTGACTGGAAGTGAATGTAAACCTAAACTAAAGAAAGTGAGCTGCAAAAGCAAGACTGGACATGGATTTCTGAGCACACAAAGCACAAATATGATTTTTAAGGAATGCAAACTTCCAAATGGGCACTGTTACCTTGGATTAAAAAAGGGAAATTAGTTAACAAGACTTGCAGGTCCTTTGGAGATTGGTTTTAGTTAACAGTGGGTAAAGAAGACAAACATAATATATAAATGATATATACTTCTGTGTCCTTTGGGGTGCAAAAAAGTAGTAAGAAACAATTAAGGCTAAGTAAGGAAAATGGTTACACTAACAAAGCAATTATTTTCAAGCTCAGTACTGTTCAACAAAGATGGGCAACCTGAATCCCTTGACCTTATTTTATGTGGCCCACAGCCTAATTTCAAAAGCTCTTTGCAAGCAATCAGTTCAGACTGCTGGCAAAAGTGACTCATCACTCCCTGACAGTCTGCTGGACAGGCAGGAAAGAGGAGAGAGAGAAAAGGTGGCATCAGAAAGAGAAAAAATGTAGTCTCAACCACCACTGGACCTGGCCCCGCCCACATATGGCATATGGCCTCCAACCGATTGCTCCTGGGGGAATGCAATCCCTGACAGAAAAATGGTTGCCCACCCCTGCCTAATAAGTGTGTTTAGGGTAACCATTTGTAGACATCAAGTTAATTCAAGCAAAGTAGCACAATTTCTGAAGAAACATTTGGGTGTTTCACTGCATTTTACTGTGGTTAAAACCACAGTATTAACCTAGAGCAGACAAACATGTAATGCAATGTAAATCCTACCTAGTTTACACAAAAAGAAATACTTTAAAAGGAAATGATAACTACATACTGTTGAACAATATATTGGCAATGTCTTGCTTACAATGTAACTGAACTATGGAAACCTATTTGGTCATGAATAAATAATATAAAATTATTATTATTATTTATTCAATTTGTATACCACCTTTTCTCCTTAGATCTCAGGGTGGTTCACAACCTAAAATTACAAAGCTAAGTAGAGAGAATCCACCTGGTCCTTTCCCCCATGCTGCCTATGGAATAGCTTATGGAAACTTGCCTGCCATAGCTAGGGCCCATTTGCATACATAGTTTGCTTAAGTAGAACAGACAGCTTTTAAAAAATACTACTCAAAGTCACAAACAATTCTGGTACTAATATGTTTCATATTTACATAATGCTGGAAAAGAGTAGAAGTTCCCTATTATATTCTATACAGTAATGTTGGTGTTTTCACAGCTAATCAAGATGAGGAAACCTACAGATTGGAGGACATAGCTTGTGAACATTTAGGGCAAATAAATCCATCTTCCACACCTTGCCAAGCATTTGGGATTGTTTCATATCCTGAAACAGCCAGTGTCATAAAATTTGGATTAAATGACAGTAAACAAGCAGAGGATAGTACTGAACTTCAAGTAAAACCAAGTCTAGCAGTACACACAGTACCTGAAAAAAGCTTTAAAATTATTTATGTAGGAGGAAATATTCTTACCTGGGATTAATCTTCGCTTCTTCCATCATTTTCTTGAAATCTTCCTTAGCCTGCATTATTTTATTTTTCTTCTCTTTGCGCTCTTCTTCTGCCCTGGTTTTCACATACTGATCAAATACCTACAGAAACACCAGAGTATACCATTTGGAGCATTATCACCCTGTAAGTGGAGAGAACTCCAAAGGACAAGTCAAAGGCTAGGATGCATCATTTGCAGTAATATGAGAAGTTACCATATATGACGCCAAGAGTATCACTTCACTAAGCTTGGACTCACTGAAATATTCCTCTCTATAAAAACTTTTATGTAAAGCCATTCAACATAAATTTTAACACTGTTCTTTAGGGCACCAAGTAACAATCACAGCAGCAACAGTACCAAACGTAAAATAGTTGGATGCTTAAGAACTGCTTCCTTCCATCAGGATGAATTTCTGTATTTTTAAATTGCACAGAGGTCTTCATTAGATAATGGCATGTCCTTTAATAGATCTATATGTCATCACTCAAGCTGGGATCAAGCCCATCTTGAATAATGTGGCATGGAACAAGGGGGTCCTGCAGCTCAAGCACCCAGGAGGAGAGGTGAAGAAGGGTATTGCCAAAGATACTGCTACATACGGAGACAGTGACATACTCTTCTCTATCAAAGCCAAAAAGTGTAATTCTCACTAAGAGAAGCTAATATATAAGAGAAGCTATCAGAAAAGAGCCAGCTCTTTCTTCTTTCATACCTCATAGCCAGCATTTAAGAATGCTCAATAACCCTAGAAACAGTTTTATGGCAATATTAATGCAATCAAATTATCATTTATTCATGAGGACACAGTATCCACACCTATCACTAGTTAGGATAGGAGAATATATGTGCATGATTTAATATGAGAGACATACAACTGACCACCTTGGTTCAGAACCTGGTGGTTCTACCAAGTCTCAGCTTCTAAATAATCACTCTGGAGATGAAGAAATTAAAACAGAGTACATAAATCCTGATTGTTCCCTTTTGCAAATTTTACATTTCCCATTTATTTTCATCTTTGTAGTAAAAGATTTCACACAAGAATATTTTCGGTATGAATAACGTATTCAGGGTTTCTTTGTCAAATACTCCTGTTAATATTTTTATACAAATCTCTGCGACAATTATGGTTTGGGGGTGTGGGGCTTCGTACCTAAACATACATTTGAGTTTGAAGCTTTCATTTCCCTATAGAAATTGTCAAGTTCTCTTTCTTAAGAAATACTTGGAACCTTACCCTTTCCCCACCCTTCCCTAAACTTTTGTTATCTGAAACTCCAGATATCACAGAATTCTCAGGCCAGTTGTGTTTACCTGTAGGCCTTTATTTTACCTGTTTTCTTTCTTTAGGGTTAAGAAGCAGGTAGCGGGGATCAAAAACTATCTTGTGTAGCTCCTTCTCCCAAGTAGAAAATGCAGAAACCTTTTTTAAAAAAAATAGAAAGGGGTGGAGTGGAAGAGAGAAAAGTGCTGATTTTCCTAGCAATTAAATTCACCCAAAGACAAGCAAGTCGTGCTATTTTGCTTGAAACCTACAGGACATCTGTTAGAGAAGAGCTATAACTGAAACCCTTACAGCAGTTTCATCACTAATAGATGACAAGCTCCAGGAGGTCAGCATCACAAATTTCCACACTAATTGGCTCCAAAAACGTCTACATAATTACACAGAACTAACACACATCTAATTACTCATTAAAATAGCCACTACTGTGTGACATTTAAAAATTGCCACATCAAAAGAGAGCCTTGAAGTTCTCTACTCTGACTTCCTATGCTGCCTGCATAGCTCTTTTTCTAAATGATCCAATGTCTCCCCCACCCGCCGCCACCCCAAATAAACCCAAAGGTTTTGCACAGAAATTGTCTCTGGAGCACTTTTAAAAAGACAGGTTAACAAGGCAAACTTATAACATTTCATGGAAACTGCATTGGAAAAATCACACTGAAAGCTGATATTCGTTAGAGAATTTTGAAATCAATTGCAAACATATGTGCCGTTCTCCTGTCCCACCCATACCAAGGCTCCAGGAAGAGCAATGATAGTTGCCAAAAATGCTCCACTTCCCTAAACTGCCCCTGAAAAAAACAACTGATGTGGGCTTCATTTTGCATGAAAAAAATATTCTACTGAAATCCAGAATTTATCTTCAGTACACACACATAGGTAACAGACACACTCTTCAAATGTGAAACTATCGTAGTATAAGGATTTGAACAGAAGCCCAATTTATCCAACTCCCCAAATTAAGATTACGCACCCACCCAACTAGTTGTGTGCAACAATCCTACATCGCAGAACTTCAACAGATGAATAGGTGTGTGTGTTTCCCAATGGCATTTACTTAATGTGAACACTAGTTTTATCTTTGACCAGTTATTCTGCACATGTGCCTTCTGAACAATCAAACAACAACAAATTATCAAAGTATGGGACATCCTTATCATTAGCACCATACAGAGTTGGAATATCTTATTAGTATACAGATAACCAATATCCTTCACTCCTAATGACAGTATGCAGGAATAACTTGTCAGTGAAAGAATAACAATATAGGAACTAACAGACTTTTTCCATTATTTGGGCTAAAATGTCAGTGTAATCAGGAAACACCAAGGTTGTTCCAGTTCTATTTCTTTTCCCAATCTGATTTAGGGATGCAATACTGCATGATAATTGTCACCAAAAAAAAAATAGTCTGCAACAATCTAGAGAACTTAATACAATAATAGTTTCTGACCCCTCTTTCAAGTAGCATGTCCTTGAACTGTTTCATTCGCGCTTCCAGCGGGACAATTGCTCTCTCTCGAGCAGCTTTAATTTCAGCTTCCATGGCAGCCTCCTTCTCTGAATCAATGTCTTTGTTTTCCTCCTTCCTATGAAAGTGAAGGCATACAAGACTCCATAAAAAAAAATACAACTAAATCTTTAGCTTTACATCACTTTGTTAACATATGTTCAGGGTGGATTCCATTCAATGCACAGTGGAACCAGAGACTATTTAACTTGGCCCAATACCCCCCAAACAACTAATTTAAAAATATGATTGAGCATACAACAATACTTTCGGCGTACTGCAGACAAGCAATCTCGCTCAATATGGTGACTACAAAAGCCACTATGCAATGTGGGAAACTTAGCTTTCCACACTGAAAGAGTTGAGCCCCAGTTCAGACTTAAAAACTTTAAAGCTCAGAAATTAATGCAGTCTATGCTTTCATACACAACTTACTTCCGCTTCTTTGCTTTAATAGGTTCATCATCATTTGTTTCATCTAGCATTTCATGCTCTTCTTTTACTGTAAGAGAGGCCTCTATTAGCATCCCTATAGGTACAGTTCAGGGGGAAAAACACACCACTTATATTCGCTTGTTGTCTACATAAAGGTAAAGAATGCATCTCATGTTAATATTAAGACATGCAAAGTTAGTCTATGGATACACATTAGAATCTCAATAAAGAATGCAATATTCCACTCTGAGGTTTCCCCCCACAATCAATAGGTATATTAATTTTATGAACTAAAATTAAACAAATAATAACATTTGATCAATAATGTATGCTGAATATATGCTTAGCCTACTTTTAGCAATCAAAAATGATTTAATTTAGTCACAACTGAGTCCCAGAAATCATGCATTGATCAATAACTTTTTCCACTGCAGTTCTCTCTTGCTTCTAAATAAGCACAAAATATCTCTTGCTTTGAATAAGCACAAAAAATGAACCTGTAAGTATATACAAAATTGCAAAATAACCAAGACAAAATAGGAAGAATACTGTTTTTACTCTTACTTTGTTTTTTCACTTCATCTATTCCTTTTTTGTGTGGAGGCTCCTGAATAATTTTATCCACATCTGCTCTTCCAATTAAGTCATCTGGTCTATCCCACATAGACAGGCGTGTGGTAGGGTTGTAAAAGAAAACCCTCTCATCACCTGTCCACACCACACACCTACAGGAAAGCCACAATCAATCAATGGTTTATCAATACTCTATCAAAGTTTGTTTAACCTATAAGCATGCTTTCAGTTAATAAAATACAGAGGTCCCAATGCCTTTGTCACATGCTCTTAAACTCCATAAAACAACACTGTCCTAAGCATGCTCACTCATAAATAAGCAACGTTGTATTCAGTGGGCTTATTCCCAGATAAATGTGCATATGATTATAGCCAAGATCAACAGCACTTAATTGTACCTGTCTGTACCAGAATGTTTTATAAACACAAAGTAGACTTACGATTACTGCTAACTGCTGGTCAATCTCATACAAAAATAATGTAAAGCCAATTTTTTCTTTATTCAACATGAAATGTATAATATAAGCCTATTGCTAACGTTATTGATTGATTAAATCATTGTAAATCTAACATTAATTTTATATTAAAAATAAACAATGAATAACATGTTCACTATGAATAGAATGCAGATTTAAAAGTAGTACTTATATATTCACAGTTACAGGTAGGTCTGCCTTAGTCAAAACAAAATAAAAAAATTCCTTCCAGTAGCACCTTAGAGACCAACTAAGTTTGTTATTGGTATGAGCTTTCGTGTGCGTGCACGAAAAATGCTCATACCAATAACAAATTTAGTTGGTCTCTAAGGTGCTACTGGAAGGAATTTTTTTATTATATATTCACACTAATCAATCTGAGGGGAAAAAATGTTACTTACCATGGAGTACCAGGAATAGGGGTAGTAGCGACAGGTTTTGCTTTCTGAGCTGCTTTTTCTTCTTCCGTCATTTCTTCTTCTTTTGGTTCCTGGTGAGAGATCAAAGGTAATTTAAAACCAACTGTTGCATTTATAGTGAATTGACAAGAAGGATAAGGAGGAACTATATAAAATCAATTAGAAATAAAAAGTAATTTGGAAATCAGTGAAACCAATGTGTAAGAAAAGTTTCTGAACTATAATGATTAATTCAATTTATGTTTAACACACACTAAGGGCAACATCCTAAGATGCCCACCTGCTTTTGCACAGTGGTTAATCCATCTGTGAAATGGGATGTCTGGTTTCTTTTTGCCCCTTTCCACCTGCACCCCCATGTGCCCCAAAATCTGCTCCAAAGTAATATAAAAGCTGCCAAGAGTTTGTGCTATCTTACTACTTTCAAAACTATGCAATAGCACTTTGTTTTGATGTTTATGTTCCTAAATGTAAATCAAGTTTTCAATATTTAAGGCACTGAATGTGTGCCTTAAAAACTGTGGACTGTATTCAGCTTGTTTTTACTCAGAATATGCATTTGAATAAATGAACCTAGGTTGTCATGCTTATTCAACTGGTTGACGCAAAGTATGATTAACATTGGATACAATCAAGTTTTTCAGCCATTGAAGACTATCCACAATGCTTTACTTTCTAAGTAATTTGTAAAATCAAATATTGCTTCTAGTTAGTTCCTAAATATAAGAACAACCTATTCACATTAGAGAGCTGCCAATATGCTCTCAATATCCAGACCAAAATGTGCACATTTTCTATTTTATTTCAGTTTACTTAACTGCATCTTCCACTTCATTCTACTTGATCTGCAGCTTTGTTTTCACAAACCAACATAAGAGTATTTAAATACAGCAAAATTAAACTGTAGGTTTCTCATGTCTTTTACCTCTTTTATAAGTTCCTTGATAGGTTCAATTTTGGGTTCCTCCTCTTCCGTCTCCATAGGCAAAGGGTCTTCAGCAGGCTCCTTAATGCTTTCTTTCATCTTCTCTTCTACTTTTTCTAGGGAAAAGCATTTTTTTTTACCTTCCACTTTCTGTAAATTCAAACTTAAGGCTCTTATCAGCATAATTATTCATAATGAAAAGTACATATGAATGCTAGTGTTTTCATTTTTGTCAGAATTTTTCTCAACTATGGACATGTATCTGTGATTATACAAATTATTACAGAGCTAGCAGAATGACACTGGGTGGCTATATTTCTGCTCCCAGACACTTTTAGGTGCTGCATGATGCTGTTTAACACCTATATGAAGCTGTTAGAAGTGGTCATCAGGAGATTTGGGGTATGGTATCATCAGTATGCTGATTACACCCAGCTCTATTTTTCTGTTACATCCAACTTTAGTGTGCTGTGCAATTTCTCAATCAGTGCCTTGATACAGTGGTGGACTGGACAAGAGCCAATACTGAGTCAGAATCCTGGTAAGATGAAGGCCTTGTGGGTGGTTTTCCAGTCCAGAAATCAATACAATCTACCTATTCCCAACACAGCTGCTTTCCCCTGAAGGAACAGGTATGTAGTCTGGAGACGGTCCTTGACATGCAAGGAGTTCGAAGAAGCAGCTCTTTGTTTTCACTAGGCAGTCTGGTTTTATTTAAAGCAACTGTTATTTACAGTCTTCTACTCATATTTCCAAAAGAAATATATTTTCATACTTTCTGTCTTTTCAAAATTACCATGGATATGCAACCGCCTTACACTGGTTATCTATGGTAAGGATGGCAATCACTTCTGTAATCAGCAGATACCACAAGTACTTTAGAAAATAATTCTGAATGTTTACACAACAAGGATGAGATAATATAGTGGTATTCTCTTGCTACTGATATGTGGAGATTTATATTGGCTCCAGGACTACTGTTATGTCTTTGTCCAAACTAAGACAGTTATCTATGCTGCAATTCTAATCTAGTTTGTTCTTAGCAATAAAGTTGCTGTTTTGTTAGGTATCCTTTGGGGCCTGCCTCCTTCTCTGAAATAGTATGAGATGGTGTCAGAAACCCAAGCCTTAAGTGTTACAAAAATTGCTCAATTTCCAGCCCAGAAAGCTTCAACAGACCCTCAGAATAACCAGTCTGGCAGAAAAGATTTGATTGTTGCTGCACAGCAACATTGTGCTACAATGAGATAGGAGAAATTAGACTCAGCTCCCTCATGTTTAAATCCTTCACCTTTATTAAGGAAAACCAAGGATTATTAATTTTATTTAATTATTTATTTGATTTCTTACCCACCCTTCATCATTAAGATCCCAGGGCAGGTTACAGCAATTTAAAAATACAATTTAAACAAATTACGGACAAGACAATAAGATAGGTACTGAAAATAACTATGCAGAGCAGATTTGGTTATTTTTTTATTTGTAAGTGTAATATAGTTTATGAGGTGGAGTATTTCCACCTGAAATGTCAAAGCCTAGAGAGTCAATGGAATTCCTTTTTTAAAATTCATGATTTGGGGAGCAAAAAAGAAGAGCTTATCAGTGACAGATTTATAGTGCTAGGCATCCTGTACAAAGGACTCTCAAAGAGTCATATCCTTTTCACACTGCAACAGAAATGCCAAGGCCAATAAGAAATGGTTTAAAAAATCTAAATAGAGAACATGAAGCAACCTGGAGATAGCTACTAAATAGAATTCTAGCAATCATCCATCTGTAAGACGAAATCCATAAAAAGCAAATACTTGGAGACTCTCAAAACAGCTGGCGGTAGGCTCCAGGAAAAAAATAGGCATTTCTCAGTTTAGACAAATGGAAGCTGAGAGAAACCGCAGCCTGGCGGTGGAGGTCTGCTATCCAGGAGCCCAAAGTCACACACGCAAAACTTTTTGTAACAGTGTGCCATATTAAGACAACAAGAGAAGCAATGAACTTCAACTGTGAGCTAGTAAGAAAGGGAAAGACTGTAAAAGAAGTAGCATACTAGTGGAGATGGGACACTGAATCATCCCATCAGCTTTTCTGAAAGACCAGCTCCACTGGACTCCTTCTGTCCCTGAACTGTTTCCATTTATGTTGGTCATTATAAGAGCTTTCTTTCCCCCAACTTCTGACTCACCATGGCTTTTTCTTTCTGTGTCATGTTTTTTAGATTGTGAGTCTGTAGACAGAGAGACTCTTGTTTTAATTGTATGTAAGACATACAGCGAGGGACGCGGGTGGCGCTGTGGGTTAAACCACAGAGCCTAGGACTTGCTGATCAGAAGGTCAGCGGTTCGAATCCCCGTGACGGGGTGAGCTCCCGTTGCTTGTTCCCTGCTCCTGCCAACCTAGCAGTCTGAAAGCACATCAAAGTGCAAGTAGATAAATAGGTACCACTCCAGCGGGAAGGTAAATGGCGTTTCCGTGCGCTGCTCTGGTTCGCCAGAAGCGGCTTAGTCATGCTGGCCACATGACCCGGAAGCTGTACGCCGGCTCCCTCGGCCAATAAAGCGAGATGAGTGCCGCAACCCCAGAGTCGGCCACGGCTGGACCAAATGGTCAGGGGTCCCTTTACCTTTACAACATACAGCAGGTTTAAAAATGCTAGAAATAAGCACACACATTCATCAGCCAATTTGTCTTTTTAATTTTGCAAAGCGCAACATTAGCTGGTCCAAAACTGAACACTATACCTTTCTCCTTTAGTTCTTGAGGCTTCTCCCATGTTGATTCCAGTGTCCTATTATTATAGTAGTAAGTCTTCCCATCTGCTGTTTTGTACTCTGTCCATTCAGAGACTGCTGTTGCTCCAGCCAATGTAGCAGGTGAAGCGGCAATAGCAACCTGAGGATGGATCATAGGTACAATAGGAGGAGCCATTCCTGGCAAGACACCTACATAAGAAGGAGCAATAAAAAGGCAAGTACTGATAAAGTAACATTTTGTGAATCCAAAGCATCGAACTAAAATCAGCATATACAGTGGCTTATTAATGAAACTGAAGCTATCAATACTGGAAGCTGAGACATTTCTTCTAAGCTGTAGTTCTGTGTTAGTACACTGTACTTGCACATTGCCTAATCACTACTGCCCTGTATACCCAGTCATGGATGGCACAAAATGTAGTAAATATTTGATGAATCTTGTGAATTTGCGCTATTTTTTAAGTGTTGAGAATGAAGTTATTGCTAATTCCATACACTATCATAATAATCAGCATTAAAAGAAAATGGGAAGGATTTACTGCTCTTCAAAGTAAACTACTAACAAAGAGTAGTAAAACAATAAAGTCAGCTTCTTCAGTACAGATGTAGCATGATTATCAGGAAATCTTCTTAGTTCTCTCTATTGAATGGTCATGTGATCCAGCAAAGCAGACCCACACATGCAAGCCGAGCTTCCCCAGTGCCATGGAAGGGGAGAGAGTCCTGCACACTTACTGAGCTCCTTCAAGCACTGTCAGGAGCACCCAATCTTAGAAGTCAGGATCACATGTTTAGGTGCCAATACAACCCGGGATTTTGCTTTCAACTTTGATTTTTGGATTTTAAAGTTAAAATAACAGATGGTTTAATGCAGCATGACTCTAGTTTTTTGTGAATATGTAAGGTACTGACAACAAACTCCTTTTTGCATGAAAACATATATATCTAGAACAGCCTTTAACATGTAAGTTTAAACATAGACACAGACATACATACACATACACAAGCACACTAACATGCAAACAAAGTCTGATCACTGTACAAATAGCAGGAGGGGGAATCAAACACTGTATCCCACATTGGAAAGCAAAAACAAAATATGGTTATGGAAGAGATTCACATGAACAGAGTAGTCTAACTTGCATAAGTGTTTTTTTAAAAAACTAATTAAGCTCATAGCCAGTTAATTGGGGGAAACTCTTGCTGACTACATGTGAAATCTGTATTTGTAAGTGTATTTTGAAAATAAAGATAAGAGATCCAGTTATTTGGGAAAAGCAAATAAAGGTAAAAACAACAACATTCACTACCATGCCAACTTACAGACAAAACAGACTAAGATGGTTTAAAAAAATTACCGGTCTTGGTGGTAGCGACTGTCTTTACATACGGGCAGCTGACTATTTGCATCATTGCTACACCTGTAAAATGGATAAGCAAGCATGTTGGAAAGCTGCCACTGCATGTCAGCTACCACTGGGAATCTGAGTAGTATCAATTTTCCTGCTACAAATTTAGCATGCCATTTTTTTTTCCAATGGCAGTGGGAAGCAAGCAGGAAGGTCTAAAATGCGTTTCCCTTTTAGTAAAGTGATTCCAGATCAATGACAAGTTCCTGCAATAATCTCGGATTATACTGAACATGAGGACTTAAATGACAATGCAGCCATCTTTTTTTAAAAAAATGAGGGAATGATGCAGGGATTTAAATTCAGTGTGGTCAAGCTTCTCCACCCCCTTGTGAGACAATGCTATGAAAGGTCATACTTATCTTGCCGTATTACAGCAATCTGTCCAGGATTAGTGCAAATAGCTCATTTAGCCCAATCCTATGCACATTTACTTGGAAGGAAGCCCCATTGTGTTCACAGGACTGAAGCTTTAGGAATGTATTTGGGGGAGCAGGGGGAGAAGAATGGTGGTGTTGAGAAAGCAAATCATACTAGAAGGCATAGGAGTATCAGTCTGAAGAGGGAAAACAGGTAAGGTTGAAGGTAAGATGGTGAATGCAAGTAAGGGACAAGGTAACAGGCCCCCTCCAAAAGAAGAAAGGAAACAAGAGAAATTGAGTTGATGGCTCATTAGTTGCCTATATATGCTCTCCCTTGCATCTTCTCTCCCTTCTCCCACTCCTACCTCTATTCCGGAGCCAAAACAAATTACAAATTACAAAACACTTCCCTAGCCACACAGAAGAGTCCCATGTGGCAAGGTAGGCTTACGTTTAAAGGACGCCTTTTAAGTTTATTCATTGAAAAGAGCAGTCAAGAACTGTTTTCCAATTGAAAAATGCTACTGACAGGTTGCATAGGACGGGACACCCAGCAATTGAGGAAGGAGGGGAGGGAAACAGGGTTGAAGGGACATTCCAGACAAGAGATAATTTAAAGAGGTACCAAGTTTATAGTACCTTCTAACACTAGAAAATGCAATAACGTAAACCCTTCCCAAATTTCTTTTAGAATATTTTTACTCCCATATTTTGAGATGCACAAAATGAAATTAAATCCCAAGTTCAAAACAAACAAAAAACAAAGTTTCTTCAAGAGTGTCCAATACAAAAACATTCAACTATCATTCATGGGTTTTTGTATTGCATTAGTCTTCCAGAAAATATCTTTTCTAATAATATTCCCAAGCTTTATTCATGCATGGAACAAAATGCACAACTGCCAAGTCAAGCAAAATATTTGCTGATATATGTTAGGGTGTATTTACGTTACAAATTTGCAATGAATGCAGAGGTTAATCTTGTTAACCATGTTTTGAATATGCCTGAAAATTAAGTGTAGAGCTGCAATCCTAAACAGATTTACTAGAGAGTAAGTATCATTACAGTGTGACTGACTTCTGCATAAGTATGTGTAAGATTGTGCTATAGAAAGATCACTGAATCTGGGCAAGTTTTTGTTCAGAAAGATTTTTGAGAAAAGTAGCCATTTCCACTGTCAAACTTGTCATGTTAAAATGTATCAGTAGCTTATAGTATATGAACTATAACTAAACACTTAAGGCTGTTTAGTTAAACACTATAACTAAACACTTAAGGCTGAAGGGGAGAAAATAATTCGAACAGGTACTTCTTCACGTACAATAGCAGTAGTGACAATGTAAAATACATTTTCAGTATTTGAAGATGTTACTGGATGCTCCAACCTCTCTTATTTTTTTCTTAGTGCATTAGTATTCTAACCTGACTTGTTTTTTATGCTACAAAAAGTCTGTTTAAAGAAGGCACATAGGATTCTGCCTATGGAAACGTCAAAACTACACTACTAATTGGATCAAGACTTGCAATCAGCAGCGTTCTGCTCACATTGGAGGAAGATGGTGGAATTTTCACCAATTCCTCCTTCCTTCTGTATCTCCTGTTGTTGCTGTTCCTGTGCTAGGTAGTTTCCACTGCTTTACCAATCATGTTTATACTTTTCAGAATAACTATTGGAATTTCATAATGTATATTTTAAGATCTCAGAGGTTTCACTATTAAGACAGGCAACTTGGCCAGTAGCACTGAAGCCAAACTAAGAGTTTCATGAATTTGAAAAACATATCTTTGTATAAATGCCCACATATGTCACTGGCACTAGATGTAGCTTTTATAAAAAGTTAACCTTTTTTCAGTCAGCTGAGGTGACTTAAGAATCCTGGTAATGCTAGAATCCTAAGTAGGGCTTAAACACAACAGCCTTTTAAACAGGGGTGGAGGAGAGTATTCTTTTTGTTTGTTACTATGCATTTTTTTGTTTTTATATTGTAAACTGTGCTGTGATCCTCAAATGAACAGCAGTATAGAAATTTTTATAAATAAAAAATAAAATAGACCACAGTAGTTATTATATTCTAGCAAATTTTCAAACACACTTCCCACATAGGTCCAAGATTCTGTCTTCAACCATATAGGACTGAAATTATTCCAATTTCAGAATGAAGCTATATGGCCCGGCCAAAAAGTACTTGTGTATGTGAGTACCACCAAATCCTCTCCCTGTCTGCAACACAGTCTGTCTTTACATTCTAGGGGTACAAGTGATGGCAAGAAAGGGAGGACACCATAGGTGGCACCATGGATTTGAACTTTTTTGCACTGACAGATAATTAAACCCTATCTTTGAATTTATTAATTCATTTTATACTGTCCTTCAATGAAAGTTTACTGATTCCATCTGGTAATTACCACTTGGCAAGGTAACAACTAAAGTGTATTTCTTTTGCACTCAGTCAGTTTTACTCTATCAATTACAAATATGCATACATTAATAGCTGCACTGTAATATGTGACTCAACAACTAATGTTTTGAAGAGCTTGTATAGGTAATTAACCAGTTTGATAAGAGTTAATTCACCAAAGCAGCTATTTACTTCAAGACAGTAGTCTACTTCTACCAAGACATCACTTATTTTAAAGTCAGTAAAGCCTAGTATCACATTCTTAGGGTGCAATCCTAAGCATGTCTACCCAGAAGGAAGCATTCCCAGGTACGTGTGTATAGGATTGCAGCTTAAGTAACAAAGACAAGGTGAATTTCTTCCAACCATGAACTGTTAAACCAATAAATTGTGTTTGAAGTATAATATGTATTCATGCCAAAAAAAAGGGTTTAACATGACTTCTTGCCAATAAAAATAAATTCTGGAATATATTTTTTTACTCTAAAAAGCCTGTCAGCTAACTCCAAATTTGTTGAAGAATATATTTTAAATGAAGAGGATTCAGGCAAATTCCATACACAGTAGACACATGAGTGCAAACAAATTGACAACATGGACATGTGGCTGGCAAGACAGTCATAGTATCTCAATTTACCTGGAAGTGGAATAGGCATGCCAGGAAGAGGAACACGAAATGGAGGTACCATTACTGGTGGGAAAGCAGGAATTGCTGCTGTCGGCTGAGGTACTGCATGAGGTACTGCAGGAGGCAAAGTCTGTGGGACTGGCTGGGGTACAGTCTGCACAGATGTAGCAGAAGGAGCAGAGGTTGAAACACTGACTGAAGGTGTGGCAACTGAAACAGCTGAGCTGGGGGTCTGGTCTTGTGTTGTAGGTGCTGATAAAGAGAACAAACATCCAAAACCCTATATCATACATGTATAAGCTCCATGTTTAATACGATTCACCAAGATTCCCTTGTAAATAATGCCAAGTTCATTATTCTCTCATAAGTAATTTACAAAACTATGCACAGTTTACAGAGAGAGGCCACTTAAGAACTTGCAAGTTATTTCATTTTAGTATAAACTTCAATCTTAATGCCAAGATTACCAAGGTGCTCTGCTAGTGGAGTCACCAAGAGGTTTCTGCTGCAAGGATCAAATAATGAAATAATCTCTGCAGCTGCAAAAATTTACCATACACACGCACACTCACCTCAAACAGCCTAGGCAAATTTCTGAAAATAGCTGATAATGGGTTTTTTCAGCTTTCTTCAAAGGATTAAGATTTTATTTCATTTCCACATTTTCCATAAAATGCACCTAACAAACCTCCAGAGCAGTGGCATGAGTTTTCTGTTGATTCATCAAACAGCAAATAAAGTCATTTGAACAACTGATGTATTAGGAACTTACATTGCTCCTAGTCAAAATAAAGAACAAGGAAACTACACTGTACCATTGCAGAGTGAAGGTACACTTTGTAATACAAAGCAAAATTTTGAAACACTTCCGCATATGCATGGCCACAGAATAATGCAGATACTGTATATTCAATATTTCCCTCTATAACTCAGACTGTAAGCATTCTAGAATCCTATAGCACCTCCAAGTGGTGCAATAATTTAATATTAAACTCAGTAGCAATTTTACTTACTGGAAACTGTTTGTGAAACAGACGTCGTTGTGGTACTAGTAGACGTTGTAGACGACTGACTATTTGATGATGGAGATGGAGATACTGATGCAGGACTACTAGTAGTAGGTGTGGAACCACCTACAGCTTGAGCTTGGGCTTGAGCCTGGGCCTGGGCTTGAGCCTGGGCCTGAGCAGCAAGAATTGGTGTCAGTTCAGACTGCTGAATAACTTTCACTCCATCAGGTTTGGTCCATGCTGACTCACGTGTCCGTGCATTATAGTAATAAACCTAGAGGCAAAAAAGACAATTTTATGCTACTGTACATAACCTAGTTTTTCCATTCACCTTTCAGATTCCTACCTGATAAAACTCTCAAAATCAATATAATTGTGAGAAATTTTTCTTAGTATTCTGAAGGCTTTACAATACTACACAACCACCTTAACAAATAAGATTGCGAAGGATGCAAGCCTAATCCCCTGATCAATGCTGCTAGAGGGGGTTGGGATTCTTCAGACGTGTCCATCCACTGAGCACGATCCTGCAGGGGATTCTGCTGCCATAAAGGTTACCACTGTGCCTGCCAAAACTGTGGGCAGTTGTGAAGTTATCCATGACATGGGGCCCCAAATCAAGGTGCGGCATGCAGAGCAGGGCCAGCCATGGAATCACTAGGCCCCTGGGCTGGTCCTTTTACCAAAGAGGGGAACAATTCAGACCCCCCTGTGGTGCCAATCTGAAAACTTCAAATACACACCTTCTGCCTTTCCCACCAGGATTGTTGTATCTTCAGTGCAGCAAGACAACAATTACCGTATTTTTCGCCCTATAGGACGCACTTTTTCCCCTCCAAAAATGAAGGGGAAATGTGTGTGCGTCTTATGGGGCGAATGCAGGCTTTCGCTGAAGCCTGGAGAGCGAGAGGCGTCGGTGCGCACCGACCCCTCTGGCTCTCCACGCTTCAGGAAGCTATCCGCAAGCCTTGCACGCCCAGCGGGCGCCTTATAGGGCGAAAAATACGGTATTACTATTGTTACTATGGAAAAATCTTACCTTTCCATCTGGAGTTTTGTTTTCTACCCAGATCTCTTCAGTAGGTGGCATTGTTGGTGTTCCAGGGGCAGAGACAGGTGGCATCCCTGGAGGAAACATCATACCAGGAGGTGGTGGCATATTTCCCATTGGAGGAGGCATGAAAGGTGGTCTCTACAAACATATGCAAGAGTAAAAATATTACAAGGGATGTTCAAATTCACAGTGCCTTCATAACTAACCAAATCTATCCAGAAATAAGTCCTTATGGGATGTATCCAACTAAATCACTGCATGCACAGAACATCTTCCCCAAACACAACAGAACTTTCCCAGCCTCTCCTCCCCTTGCATGCCTCCCAGAACTGTTCTGGAGGTTCTCCCAACCATCCAGAGCATATTTGGGGGACATGCAGAAAGAGATACTGTCCTCATCTCTTACATATTTTTACCTGTAGATGTGGAGGTCCCATAGGTGGAGGAATTCCTCCTGGGGGTGGCATTGGAGGCATATTTGGATCAAATGGAGGACGTCCAAAAGGAGGCCGGGGTGGTGGTGGAGGGCCTCGCATCATACCAAAAGGTGGAGGTGGGCGCATAAGAGGTGGTGGGCCTCTCATGACAGTATTTGGTGGAGGAGCTGGTCCACGAAATCTCAGTGCTTGCTGTTGAGCCATTCTGTGAGCAAACCAAAATGAACAGTTTTGTCTTCAAATTATTTGATCAACAGAAGGGAATTGGTGTTACAAGTGAACCAAAACATTGTGACAAAGTTATCATGAACCCCAAACTGTTTGGGAGACTTTGTCCTCACAATTTAAATGACTTAGAAAGCAGTATCTAGACTGGGGATACTTCAAATGGAAAGGCACTGCACAAGCTTCCCTCCCACAAGCCTAAATACAAGTCACCTCAAACGCAAGGTGCAATACCCACATCTCTCCTGTATTTATATATATCCAAGACATGGACAACTGATTTTAATAAATACCAAAGCACCCAATAGTTTCATAATGTGAATGGGTGCACACCACACACTTGGATGGGAACATCTACATCCTTTTCACTTGTAGCCTAAATCAGAATTTGGGAATGCTATCCCCACTGTGCCACCCAGCCCTCTACAGAGGTAGCTTAGTAAATGTATATATAGAAAAAACGTTCACCTTTGCAACCAACAAACGCTCTTCTGATGCTCTCAGGAAAACAATTTTGCCCACCATTTAGTGCCAGTGCAATACCAATGTTGGCATGATGACTCAAAATTGAAAAAAACAAAGGTTATAAGGTGGTGAACGACAACAGACAAATAATTCAACACTTAATATTCAACCTTCTAATTTTGGAAGTTGCATAGCACAGAGGTGTTTAAGAATTCTATTGTTGTATATAACTCGTAAATTTGTGATGTAACACTCAGTGGCCACTGCCAACTCCACTCAGATGGTCAAGAGCCACAGCAGATTTTTTTCTGTGATAAAGCTATTAAGAGTACATAATATATGCATATTGCATGAGTTACAAAGGATGCACACATGTAAGGATTTCAGGTTATGCCTTTAGAACTCAAGCAAGTTTGGGCCTGAACTTTTCCTATCACAGCTCACTTTAAAAGCAAAAAGCCACAATGCAGCTATGTAAACTGACACAATGTGCATGTATTTTGTACATGTAAAATATAAGTCATTTAAAATATATCTTATAAATAGGGGTGCCAAGACTGAACACTTTCACTAAGGAAGGTATTCTGCCAGTTCTGGAAAAATATTGTCTACAGAACTGATAGAATTTTATCACAGCACATGCATAGGTAATGAGAATTTGCAATTGGCCTCCATTATTTGATAATAATGAACTTGTGAAATGGAAAATATTATGCGGAAAAATAAAGCTCTGAAAAGTTTTCTGCCATGCATGTGTGTATGGGAAAAACTGGTTGCCCACATCCATCCTGGGAAGGACAAATTGGCAGAATCCAAGAGAAAGCAAAACTTTTAGTATTTCTGAGACATATAAGTTATTTCATTTCAATTCATACTGAACATAAAAGCCTCCTCTAGAGGTTTCTGAGAGGAGGAAGGTCTGCGGCCTGCTAAAGAGCACAGTATTCTAGTGTGATAGGGGTCTTCCTGCCCCCCCTCTACCTCCAGTATCCACTACTGTGGCCATCTACCCAAAGTCTGGAGTAAGAGGGAGAATAAAGGCTGGCTACAACTTGGATTGAGGGCTTCTTATCTCTAAATCCTCACTGCTTTCACCACTGCTGCAACAGACTGGAGAAACAGCCTGGGCCTAAGAGTACCAAGTCCACTATATATGCATAGTCAGGCCTTGTTTTGTTTGTCATAATGGGCCATTTCAAAAGGACAATGCCTTTTTCTTATGATGCACAACAATTAAATTGGAATAGAGACTGCTGCTATGAACACTAGAAGTTAAAAATACTATTTGGGTGAGTTTTTCCACTACTCTTATGATTGTTGCAAATTACCAAAGATGCAGTATATGCAAGCAGGGGAGCTGGGTGAAAGAGCGAACTGGACACCTGCACCTTTAATAGAAGTGCAAAAGACTTTCACCAGCTGCTGGAATTATTTCTTCTGCATGACTATTGAAGGTGAAGCAGCCCTGTCTTCTTTTTCACGTAGCTGCAACACAGACAAGTACAGATTTCCCACTTTAAGCTGGGCTGCTTCATATGTTTTAAGTGGAAGAGGGCTGGGGTGGTGGCATAATTAGTCACTAATTATGCTTAATATGTACATTTTTCATATTTGAATTTTTTTACTTGTAATTTCTTAATGTTTACAAATAATATTTTTCTGTTAATTACGTTGCTTTAAATGGTGGATCTTTACTGTATTTCATTTGAAGCTTTGAGGAAAGTTGCAAACCCCTTACAGATTCTTTTTCCAGGAATACAAAGCAGTACAGAAATGACTTTAATAATAAACACACAAGTATTTCCATGTACGGAAAATCGTCATACATGTGTTTTGCTCTGCATCCATATGTTGGGAAGCTGCCATTCGACACAGCTTTCCAACACATGGATGCCAGAAGCGTACCATGCAAAACACAACCCTATATTAATGTCACATGTCAGCTTCACGGTATTTCCTACGTGTCCTTAGGCAGGACCACTGTTAACAAGTGAAGTATTCCTTCTGGTTATTTGGATAAAACTTTAGATGTGATCCGGACAACCTTCTACGCTTGCATTTCAAGTTCAAGTTTTTCACACACACAGAACCCTGAGGGGCTTCTCCTCCTCAATGCAGTCTGGTTACATGAACATATGAAATCCTGCCTTACACTTGAGGCAGCCCCCGGCTTCATTTAACTCTGCACAGAATAGATTTAACAGGTATCTGCTGCAGATGCAAGGGTTGTTTTATTTCCTCCCCTTGCCTTCCTCAGATCCTCTTTCCTGCTGAAATACTGAGGCCTTCCACATGCACATAGAGGCATGCGCTCTCAACTACTACTGAGCCGCGGCCCCCAGCTGAGGCGCCAGTTCAAGAAGGAACTGGGGAAGAGGGAACCACGCATCTCCTCGGCCGCCCGCCCGCCGCTCTTGATACGTCAGCGTGTGTCCGGGAGCCGCCATTGGCAAAAGGCGGCTGCGTGTGGGGGAGCAGCCAACAGACAAAACGGGCATCCCGTCCCCAAGGCTGAAGAGCCGTTGGAAATAAATAAATAAATAAATAAATAAGCGAGCATGGAGACGGTACTACTCTGGAATAACGGCGGTTTAAAGCGGTCGGGGCGCTGAGCGGGAATCTCACCAGGGGAGGAGCGAGGCTTGAGGTGAAGGGCGGGAGGGCGGGCGGGCCGGGGGGGGGAGCCCCGTGAGGGAGCGGAGGCCGAACGGCCGCTTCCGCCTCGAGACGAAAGGACGGAGGGGGGCGGGCCCGGCGCCGCGAAAGCGGAGCGGGAAGGGCGCTCGTGCCCCCTGCGCTCGCTCTCTCTCTCCCTCGCGCGCGCGCTCACAAAAGGCCTCGTGCTCCCGGCTCCTCCTGCCAACCCCTTCCTTCCCCCCGCCCGCCGCCATTCCCGGAGGAGGACTTGGCCTTACCTCATCTCATTGTTGTACCGCTCCGCCGCCCCAGCGTCCCCTTCGCCGCCGCCGCCTGCTCCGCCACTCGCGCCGCCGCCGCCGCCTCCTCCTCCTCCTCCTCCTCGTTCCGCCATCACCAGCCGACTCTGCCGCCGCACACGCCCACCCTCGCCAGGCCTCGCCGCCTCGTCAGTGGCTGCCAGGTGCGTCAATCACATGACGGCGCCGCGTCACCCTCGCCTCGATTGGTGCCTGTCGCCGCCGATTTTGAATGAGAGGCGGAAAGCGAGTAGTGACTGGCTGCTTTGGCTCAAAGAGCATCAAGCGGCGCCGCTTGAACGCGCCCTCCTGCGGCCCGCTCGCTTGCACGTCACGTGACCTATAACCCGGAATTGACCTTGTTTACCTCAAAAAAAAGAGAAGAAGTCTCTGACCACAGAGATAAGAAAATAAAGGGACGCATCCTATTCTTTTGATACGGAACTTCCGGGTGTATGTTGGAGAAGCCATTTTTTCAACCTCGCGGGGTCTGAAGTGAGAGCAATAAAAGTGATACAGTAAAATCACAATTTTAATGTAGTTCAGCTATGGTGGGGCTCCATCGTGTCCTCTCCGAAATGGTAGAGACGTTTAGGATCTTTCTTGCTCAGGACTTATTTCATGCGAAGAGATAATGCGATCTTTTTGCCAAAGAAGAACAAATACTTTCAGATTTATTCATTTGATTTATGGCAGTTAACAATTTTAAAACAAATGCACCATATAAAATGTAGAGTGACAATATAATATGGGATTATATTCTTTTTGTTTTTTTGCTGCAACGGATTAACATGCTACCCTTCTATGATTTATAATGTATTTTTAAACATTTTAAAATATAATTGCTATTACAAATGCAAATACAATCCATTATTAATTAATTAATTAACAAATCACTTCCTAGGATGCATTTTGAAGCGACCTCACAATACAATAAAAATATAAAACAACTATTGCATATATAATAGCAAGCAAAAGCTGTTACAGATAAAAGTACAATTTCAAATACTATAAAATGCAAATACTGACTGGGATTGGGGTAGGGGAGGGGGAGATATCCACTCATAAGGCTTGTTGTTTGTGTTGGTGGGAGAGAGTAGTTTTTGTTCACCCCGCAATGTTACCCAAGGTTAATATTGCTGATTAAAAGTAGGGTTTTAATTTAAAGCCAAAATACCACTCAGGTTATACCTCTGCTTAAACTGCCATCTCAGATCCACTCAGAAGCTTGCTGCTCCACTGACTTGCAAGAGAAAGTGTTGTGCTTTTAAATGTTCAAAAACAAAACACCTTTTTGTTGTTGTTGGCATCTGTCTGAAAAGATATCAGTTAGGAAAAGCAGGACTTTCTTTGGTTGCTGCTACCTTTCACTTCTGGATGAACATAGTGTAGCCCAATCACAAATATAGTCAGGGTGTTGCTAGCTATGAGTCCTGGTGGCTTGACTAGATGCTTGGGGCGATGAGAAAGAGAGTTGGGGCTTGAGTGCCGACTCTTATTTCAGAGCTCTGAGTGTCTAGTCTGGCCATCTGGACATATCAATGGATGTTACTTTTGGTTTTTCTCTTTTGTTTTTACTGGGGTCTGCTGTGGGATTGGCTAGCCACAGTTAGTGTCTGTGGGAGCAGTAGTACCAGCAACATCCTCTTTCTGAAATCGGGATGGAATTGCAAAGGCGCAGGAGTGAAAATTCCAGCCCTGGTGGGTAGTGGGAAAACTGGAAGCTGAGTCTGTGTCACACTACACTTTTTGTATATTGGGTGAATGGCAGACCATAAATGCTAACTTAAACTCTCAGAGAAGTCCTACTATTTTAAATAGGATTGCACCTTATTCCAGAGCCAAGGTTCTAGTTGTCTATTTTTCATTGCAAATATAACAAAGAAAAAGAAGATATGATGTCAGCTCATGTTAGCAATAAGAACACTCTATCAATCCTAATTTAAATTTATATATTAATATAGGCAGTTCATAAATCCAAGCAGACACCCAAACACAATCAAGTATGATAGGTTATAATTTCAAATGGAGAAAGGCAGTAAGATCTTCAGACAGTGACCACTGAGTTATGGATAGTGGGTGTTTATTCTTCTAACCTTGACATATAAGTCTCTCTACAATCATAAGAGCTTGCAGAATCCACTTCTGTTGTTGATCGAAACATCACAGGAATATAATTTCAAAGAACCAATGTTAATCAGGTTCTTTCCCCTCCAGAGTGTAACTCTTATTTTCACTCTTCCTTTTAGCCACTAGGAGATCCCCTTCGGCTGCTTTGGTATGTGTAGACAGAATTATCCATCAAGGTAGCAATGCAGATCTTCTGGGGAGTACTTTACAGCTGTCGGTTTCTTTGATAGCTTGTCCAGTGGATTGCTTTGAAGATTGACCTGTAAAGCATTAATGAAATCTCACTTGTTTGCAATACTCATGTCTCTTCTGTGCTAGGTCTTTTGTTAATGGCCTCGTTTCTTGTCTGATGCCTAGGAACAAGTACTTAGCCAGCAAACAAGACACCATGTTCTCTCACACATTTTCACTTGCCCCTAAAGGGTTAGGTTGCATACACACATACATATTAAGCACATACATTCTCCCCCAAAGAACGTCCCGCAGAGCTACAATCCCTGGCACCCTTAACAAACTACAGTTTTCAGGATTATTTGGAGAAAGCCATGTGCTTTAAATGTTTGTGTGTACTCAGCCCTTTCAACAAAACTGAAACAACAAACAAAACTGCACAACAAGGGACCTGTCTGGCTTAGGTTTTCTCTTCTTCCTGTGCTCAGTTCCTCTGTAGAGGGTGGAATGCATAAGGACTGGTGGCTGCCATTGCTTTGGTTGGACGCCCAAGAAGTTGTAGCCCTCCAGACGTTGTTGAAGAACAATTCTCATCTTTGCTGAGTGACCACAGGCCATGCTGTGGGAGTTGGGGGTGGTCTGTCAACATCTGCAAGTTCTCCAACCCTGATTTATTCTGCCCCTTAAAACTCAGTGGTAGCTATTTAGAACTGAATTTCATGTCTACATAGTTTACCCTTTTCTTTGCTTGGCCTCACCCTAGGTTTTCTTTCTTGGTCACTTTACAGTACAGCAGGATGCTGGGAGCTGGCCTTTGTATGAATATTTTATTTGAAAATATATATAATCTTGACTATCTGCCTTTCATCCAAAGCTGCTCACACTGACTAAAATCGCAAGCATAAAAAAAGGGAAATCAGCATAACCCAATGCCAAATATGTTACTCATTGTAAAACGAGTCCCTCCTTTGAAAACAAGTGTATGTTCATTTTTTAATAATGATTTGCCTTGTTTTATTCGGAGAAATTCCATGGTTGACTCTGAGCAGCCTCTAGGCAAGCAGTGTTTCTGGAAGCTGGTTCTTACACTTGTAAGATTGTCTTGGCACAGATTTTAGATGATGCAGGACAGGAGCGGATAATGAATATTCAGGGAGGAGAAGGAGAGGGAGAAGAAAAAGAAAAAGAAAAAGAAAGGGGGCAGTAAAGAGACGGTTCTGCTTGTTAAATGGAAGCCCTCAACTGAACTGTGTTTTGTTGTTTTAAAGTAGTTTCGTACTTTTAAAGAGCAAGTGACTAGCTGAAGACCTGCCTTGTTTAATTGTCCACCTAGGAAACCAAATATATACACATGTATCTGCTCCTTTGATGTTACTAATGAATGAGCTCTTTTAACTTACTCTGACGACTGATAATTGTGCTCTAGCTCCTGGGCAAAAGTTATCAGTAATGTGGGTATGTGGAGTGGCTGCTGGCATCAAATATTCATAGAGTCACAGATGGGGATCTACAAAGAGTTAGCGCCGAAACAGGAGCATATTCCCAGCCATTCTGCAGTGAGCATGTCAAAACATCAAGAGTAACGGGTGATTTGTTGCTACAGCTACATAAGACTGGCATGGTTTTGCTTTTCTCAAAGATTAGAAGGAAGTGCCCTCACCAGCTGCTGTATTTCCAGTTGAAGTAGGTCAAGATATGCCACTGGCTTCCAGAGGCAGAAGTGTCGCCTGCACCATGTTGTTCTTCTGACTGCGTTTAGTCCTGGATGATGGGACATTGGGAGCCCAAAGTGTGAGAGGCAGCAGCGGCAGTCCAGGTGAGGAAGACCTGCCCTGCAAGAGGACTGATATCTGCTTTGGCAGCTGTTTCTGGGCCAGAGTAAGATCTGCTTTGGCCCAGAGGTTCAGAAACAAAAGAAACCACTGGGATGTCTGAGATCTTGTTGGAAAAATGTGTATACACAGTCTAGCTCCTCGCTAGGTGTCTATTTTGCTGTCTTTTTAAAGGTATTATAAGTGACCCTGAAAGCCTTAAATAAATAAAAAGGTTGTGGGTGCCTTCTACTTGGCATGTGGGAGGAAGGGTTGTCAAAAAGATTGTACCTCTCAAATCAAGGGTGCCGTAATAAAAATTGATTAATTCATTCATTGACTAAAAGTCATGGAAGCAATTGACTTGCCCTGCAAACCTATGCATGCCGTAAGCCCCATGGTAATGGAACACTCCTGCAGGCCCCATGGCCTCCTCTCGCAACTGGAACAGCTACGCAGCATTCCCAGGAAGGAGTCCTGATGTTCTGGGACTCATAGCTGCTCTCTTGTGAGTACCTGGTCTAGCAGAGTAAAAGCGCAGACAGAGGTGAGGAGGTAGCTGGGCATACCTACCGGTACTTTATTTCTACTAATTACAGATTAAAGAACATAACAAACACATATGAGAGGAGCAGCCCTCATACAGACACCAGGTCTTGTCGCAAGAGAGCAGAAAGAAAAAAGTACAATACTACCAGAGACGGAAGTCACACAGACAGGCTTCCTTTCTCACGGAACAGAAAGTAAACAATAGGATCAGATGATCCTTGCAATGGGAGGAGTGAAATACTAACATATGGAACACAGTGCGTCTTACTCTCAAGTAGACATATCTTTGTTAGTCATTTATTTAAAACATTTTAACCTTGCAATTCTGTTGCGTCAGACCAAATGCCCATGGTGGCACATAGTCAGCAATGCAATTAAAAGCAGCAGCAGAATTAAAAGAAACTATGCTGCTAGGTTTCTTAAACTGGAAAAGTGATACAGTGGTACTGCGGGTTAAGAACTTAATT